AACTCTTAGTTATTAAGAATGGTTCTTTATTTCATGACTATAAAGTTAAATTTTACACTCTAATAGGGTGATTCAATAAATTTTTTTTATTTTTTTTGCACAGAAAAAGGAATATATTAAGTAATATAAAGAGAGTACAAGAGGTACTTCAACCCGTTACACTACAAAATAATACATAGCATAATAGGGAGGAAAAGCATGAGGCCGATGCCTGATCCATCAACTAAGTACAGTAGATAAGTAGATAAGGATCACCTTAAGGCTATCATGAATCCACCCCGAACCCCCATCCTGCAGCAATATTAATTTTTTCCCTTTTTATCTTTCAAGCATTCCATGGGTTACAACATCCAATTGCATAGATTAAAAGAGTACCCAATTGTTCTGTTTTTGATCCATTGGAATGTTTGCAACTGCACCAGCTCAAAAATGCAATTGACATCCTACTCATGGTTTCTGAAAGCCTTTTCGTTCTTGGCAGTCCATATAGACCAAATTGTTGCAAACCACACTGCATCCCAACCTGGCTTGGTATTTACATTTTTAAAGGAGGCTAATTGCTATTCAAAAGATGCATGGTGATTATCAACTCTCATTTGGACCATACTGAGTATGCAATTTTGCAATGAAGAAATAGATGATTTGTATCTTCAATACTCTCATTGCATAACATTCATGTAGCTAGATTGAGATTTGGAACAATCCCTCTTTTGTACAAATTCACATTCGAGGGTATTCTATCTTATAGGACTTTCAACACAAAGGCACATATTTTTGTGGGGACAAGCCTATGCCAAATCCTTTTATGCAAGCCATTCCTACTCTGTTGATGGTTGCTAGAAAGAGCTTGGTATCCCACATTCGAATTTAAAACTCCAAGTTGAAGATCTCACGTTCGAATTTTGAATCAGGTAAGAAGAGATTTGAGGATAAAAGAAGATTATCTTCTTTTATATAACTCATAATCAGATATACCAAAAAAAAATAAAGTTAAATCTAAATAAAGTATTGTTTTATAAACTAAATTTATAATTTAAAATTTAAGATTAATATGATAGTATCTAAAAAAATTAACTTTTCTAAATATATCAAATTAACATGT